GGACTCTCACTCCGCCCCCCCGCCCCCGGAGCTGCAGCCGGGTGCACAACCCAGGCTGTGAAATGCTTTGCAGGGGGAAGCTCTGTTACCTGCACACGGGGCACCCACCTTTCCCCAGTCTGTGGGGCTCCGGGTGTAACTAACCTGGTCAGTGTAAGTCCCCGCACCCTTTCCCAGTACATACGGCTCCGGGTGGGTACGACTTCTGCAGCGGGGCAGGACCTTTCCCCAGGGCAAGGGCCTCACACAGTACTATTCTCCTACATCGCCTCTCTTCATTAACAATCACCCAAACCAGACTGCACCCGCTACACACACAACGCTCACCGCTCCCAGTACCGCAGATGAACTTTTCTTGCTGGCCAGTCAGGATCAGGTCATCTGGGGAACTCCAGTTTCTGCCCAGTGTCACTGGCTGAGGGTTGGGGACTGGCAGCTCTGATCTTGGGGCTGTGTCCTGGAGTTGCTTCCCAAAGAACTTCCTTTTGGACCCCAGTTTATAGAGTGACATTTGAGTTCTTTTAGCTGTACCTTAACCAATCATTCTACTAAAATTTTACTAACCAATCCTAACCTAGTGTAACAAAATTCTCCAACCAATCCTACCCCACCACCCTAATTTACATCTTGCAAGATTAATCAGAACAATCAGACAGAAACAATCAAAGAACCGGACAGAGACCTGACAGAAACAATAGGGGAGAGGGGACCATAATGACAAAACAATACAGAAATGAGGGTTTCACAAGCACAACTCTTGAGAAGTGATTTCTCGCCAGACAGATGCTGTCAGACTCAGTTTTCTTTAGCCATCTCAAGCTCTGTTTCTGTATCTGGTGATGGTGGGGCCATTGGGACAGGATCTCCTTCTTCACAGCCGGATCTGACACTGTTTTCATGTCATTCCGATGGAATATGGGGATGGAACTTCCAGCTTCTCAGCGAAGGGCTTTTTTAATCTGGCTGCAGACGAAGGCCTGATCCCTACAGCTCTGGCTGCTGCCCTCTGTGGGTCCATGTGCTCCTGGGGACGTTGAAGGCTTCCTGCCCCTGCAGCTCAGGGTAGCCCAGGTCCTTCACAGGGGTCACACTGCCCCTCACCTGGGCGACTGAGCAGCCACCGGTGCACTCCAGGCTGCACAGACAGAAAGGCCCCCACCCTGACCTGCCCCTGCTGCAGACTAGTTCAGACACGCCTCACAGGTGACGGCATGCGCAGGAGCTGCACTGGGAGATCCTCCCTACAGACCTGGCAGAAGGACGAAGGTGATTCTAACAATAACCTGCAGCTTTTGAACCTGGGACCTTCAGATCTGTAGCACAACCCCTGCTATTTGAACTAAAGGAGTAACCTCATTTCCTGCCACCAGTAGTAGGCTGCTCTCCACCAGTGGCCCAGCCACTAGCGGGGAAGGTGACGTTTTGCCAGCATAACCCAAGGCTGTCTGGAGCCTGGGGAGAGGTCCTGAGCGGGGGCAGGACGCAGAGGGGCTGACCCGTTTGCAATATGAAAACCAAGCCATGTTGTTCAAGTGTCACAGAGGAACGCAGCACAGGAGGAAATGGGTTTCTCGGCCTCCCGCAGTAACAGAAGAAATGCTTCGATGCTTCGGGCGGCGCAGTGTTTCTGTCACGAATGAGTGAGCCAGAAGAAAGCAGGGTGCGCCCGCCGGGACACGTGCTGGGAGGATGCTCAGGAAGGACAGGGATCCAACCAGCAGCAAGGATGCTGCAATGCAGGGGATTTCCTCAGCGCTGGCCAGTTGGGGTGGGTGGGGTGTAGATGGCTCATGTTCCACCCACATGTTGTGGGGCTGGGAGAGGGGCACTCACTGACCTGTCAATGACCCTATGCCTGGAGGATGAGGGAGGGCTGGCTCTGACATCCCATCCTCTCCAGCTCAGCACTGCCTGTCACAGACCAGACGAATCCTGTCGAGGCCTAGACCTGCCCCTCAGGCTCTGTCTGCAGATGGAAGGAGCCTCCCAGCCCAGGAGCTGGCAGGGCTGGTGCAGGGAGTCTTGGAGGCCATGGGTCTGCCCATATGGGCCTGTGTGAACCCTTGGGGTTCGGCCCACCAAGGGACTGGTTACAGGCTGGAGCATAGACCCGGCCCTGTGGATCCCTGGCAGTGCCCACCAGGGGAAACTCTGCCACCGCTACCAGCTGCAGGCAACACCAGTGCTCCCCACCGGGCTCCTTCCCTCGGCAGGCCAGCAGTTCACACGCCCCATCTTGTTACACTGGAGCACCCATCCACTGGCTTCTCCTCAGTCCCACCCTCTCCGCAGCACACGCATGGGTCTATCGTAAAACCAAATGGGAGTTTATTTAGGAGAGCTCGAGTTAAGGCTTCAGACAAAGGCCAGGCAAAGGATTTAGAGACAGCTTACAGGTAAAAGACAAACGTATCAGGCAGTCTAGAGCCTGCGCTCATTAACAAGTCCTCTCAGACACTGGCAAGAAGCGCTAACCAGACTGTGGTGGGCTGGGTTTTACTTACCATCACCGTGAGGCTTGTGGCTGGATGTAGGGCTGGGCTCGCTACTGCAGGCTGCAGTGAAGGGGTGAGAGATATTTGAGTACATGGGAGTAATGGGTGAGTTCAACATCCTCATGCTTCAGGGCAAAGGAAATCAACAGCTGGGGTCAGGAAAGCCTGTCCTTGCCTCACACCTCTCCTGTGAGATAGCTGGACATTGAGGTACAGTAGAGAGACAAGGGGGGAGGGAATATCTTTTACTGGACCAACTTCTGCTGGGAGAGAGACGCGTGCGCTTCCCGAGGAAGAGCCCCGTGTTGCTGGAAATCCCGTCTCTCACCCACAGAAATCGGTGCAATAAAAGATATGATGTCACTGTGACGAAGTGGGACTGTTCTTAATGTTTCCTCTGAATACTGTGTGGGGGCCTCAGTTTCTGACGGACCCTCTGTCGCCTGGCAACTAATGGCCAGGCCCTTCCCCCCTGCAAGGGGATGCTAAAGGTGTGGGAGAACAAAGAGATCAGGTGACCTCCTGGCCAGGGGAAAGAGACAAAGGCCAGAAAAAAGGGGCTGGAGGGGGTTTCAGTTTGGAGCTGGCTGGGGACGGGGAGTGAGGGCAGACAGGGGTGTCTGGCTCGCTGGGCCCCAGAATGGGCCCGGATGAGGGGTCCCGTTCTTTGTACCTACAAGCTCTGTTTTAGACAGTGTTCCTGTCATCTAATAAACCTCTGTGTTACTGGCTGGCTGAGAGTCACGTCTGACTGTGAAGTGGTGGTGCAGGACCCTCTGGCTTCCCCAGGACCCCGCCTGGGCGGACTCGCTGTGGGAAGCGCACGGAGGGGCATGTGCTGAATGCTCCCAGGAGAGACCCAGAAGGTGAAGCCGTGTGAGCTTCTTGCCCTCGGTCTGCTCCGAGGGAGAGGAGGCTCCCCAGAGTCATGACTGGCTTTGTGGGGAGCAGTTCCAGAGCATCGCCCGGGGACTCCGTGACAGTCACCCACCCTGTCTCTCCTATGTCCCGAGACCCATGGGGCCACAACACCGCTGGACACGGGTGGGTGTGGGGGGCATTTATGCCTTTCTCTGAAGAATCCGGCTTTGGCCACTCAGATGCAGGGGTGGGGCGAGGGACACGAGGTGCAGGGGTGGGGCTAGGGACACCCAGTGAGTCTGGGGACGCCCGGCATGGTGGTGGGGCTGGGGACGCCTGGTGGGGCTGGGGACGCCCGGCGTGGTGGTGGGACTGGGGACGCCCGGTGGGGCTGGGGACGCCCGGCCTGGTGGTGGGGCTGGGGACGCCCAGCGGGGCTGGGGGGGGACGCCCGGCGTGGTGGTGGGGCCGGGGACGCCCGGCGGGGCTGGGGACGCCTAGTGAGTCTGGGGATGCCCGGCGTGGTGGGGGGCCGGGGATGCCCGGCGGGGCTGGGGACGCCCGGGGTGGTGGTGGGGCTGGGGACGCCCGGCGTGGTGGTGGGGCTGGGGACGCCCGACGGAGCTGGGGACGCCCGGTGTGGTGGTGGGGCTGGGGACGCCCGACAGGGCTGGGGACGCCCGGTGTGGTGGTGGGGCTGGGGACGACACAGATGCGCTCGGGGCTCTAACTGCAAGCGGCAGCACCCAGGGCTGTGTCCGCACCCAGCAGCAGGAGGGAGACAGCCGGGCCGGAACTCTCCCTGCGCCCCCAGCCCAGCGCGCCCCAGGCAGCGAGAGGCCAGGCCGGGGGACACGCGGTGCGGGGTGGGGGCCGGGCCTGCTCCGCGGCGGAGCCAGCCCCTTGCAGGGAGCGGGGCCGGGCCGGGCCGAGGGCGGGGCCGGGCGGGCGGCCGGCGCAGGAAGGACCGTTAGGCGCCAGATGTTTGGCAGCCGAGCGCAGAGGAAGTGGCTGCCGGAGCGCAGGGACGGGGAGCGGCCCGAGGCCCCAGCGCTGCCGCCATGCCCCCGCCCGCGCCCCCCAGCGCGCCGCCGCCCGGGCCGCCCGCCCGCGGGCCGCTGAGCCTGCACCGGCCCTTCCTGCGCAGCCCGCTGGCCCCGCTGCGCCTGGGGCAGCTGCTCCTGGGCGCCGCCTGCTGGGGGACGGTGGCGGCCCACAAGTACGAGGGGGCGGCGCACTTCGCGCTCTTCGCCGCCGTGCTGGCCTGGCTGCTGGCGCTGGCGCTCGCCGGCCTCAGCCTGCTGGGGCGCTGGGCGCTGGTGCCGCTGCTGGGCGCCCGCTGGCTGCTCGCCAACGCGGCGCACGACCTGCTGCTGGGCGTCGGGCTCTACGCGGCGGCCGCGGGCGTCATGGGCCACAAGGCGGAGCGGCACAGCTACTGCAACCTCCGCGGCTACAGCCAGCCCTGCCTCTACCGCGCCTACCTGGCCGCCGCCGTCTGCGCCGCCCTGGCCGCCGCCCTCCACCTGCTCTCGGGCCTCTACTGCCTGGCGCGCCGCTGCCGGGGCCACCGCGACATCGTCTGAGCGCCGGGCAGGGCCCCCGGCCGGCCGCGGTCCCCGGCGGACAGAGCCCCCCCGCAGACAGACCGACAGACAGACAGCGCCCTGCGCCCCCGGACAGACCGACAGACAGCGCCCTGCGCCCCCGGACAGACCGACAGACAGAGCCCTCTGCCCCCACCAAGGACCAAGCGCCCCCGGACAGACCGACAGACAGCGCCCTGCGCCCCCGGACAGACCGACAGACAGAGCCCTCTGCCCCCGCCAGGCACTGAGCGCCCCCGGACAGACAGACCTCCCCCCGCCTGACGGCTCTCCATAGCCAGTCAAGGACCCGCAGCCCCCAGGGACCCCGCCCCCAGAGGACGGACAGACACAGGCTATCCTCAGCCAAAGAACCCCAGTCCCGATCGCCCGAAGGTGGGGGCTGCCGGCCCTCGGGCTCCCCCCTTCCGGCTCTCACAGGTGGGTGCTGGCACTGGGTCTCCGCTTACTTGCTCCCCAGGGGCAGCTGAGCTGTGGGGCTGGGACAGGAGGGAGCAGGCCCCCATGGCTGTCATGGGAGGGGAGGGGAGAGTTCTGGGCCAGGGCCAGGGACCGCTCTGGCACCCCTCCTAGCACCCACTGCCCAGCCAGGATGAGCTTCCCAGCATCAGCCCCTCCCCAGGCCGGAAACGCCCAGGGAGAAGCCCTGATCGATGAGAACCAACTGCCCAGAGACCCCCCTTCTCTGGGGGGGCCCCTCCCAGGGGCTGAGCCCTCACTCTCCCCTGCCCCCACATGCAGCTCCTGCCCCATCCGCTCAGGGACAGAACTATGTCCCCAGCCCCAGATGCGGCCCCCACCTAGGCGGGGCGGATGGCATGTGGCGGGCAGGGGAATCCAGTGCCAGCCCAGAGCCACCACCCCTTCCCCGGCCATTCCCAGGGAGTGGGGCCCCAGCAGGGCAAAGCCATTGCTCGCTGCTGCTGCCCATTCCCAGCCCTGGGTCATGGATGGGGGCAGGAGGGAGCAGGGGCTGAGCCATGCAAGATGTTCCAGGCCTGGGTATGTCAGGGCAGCCTGGGAACCCCCTTCAGCTCAGCCTCCTGCTCACGGGTGTGACTCTCCCTAGTGCCTTTTTCTTTGCAGGGGCCACGCAGCCCCTGACAAGCTGTACACCGGGATCCCCACACCTGCCAGGGAAATGCAGCTACCTCTGGGGTGGCGCGCAGCTGTTGTTTAACCGCTGTGCAGCCGGTGAGGACGGGAAGTGAAAGACACTGTGCCCAGTTGAAGTTGCAGGGTGGGACGGATTTGAGGTTGGTGGAATTTAGCCCAATAAGGAAATTTAAGGGAAGGACAGGCAGGTTTCATAACCAAGCAGAGACCTCTCCGAGATGGCTCCACCTTCGGAAGATCCCCCGCGCAGGGCCCCACCAGCAGGGCAAGCCTGGCCTGTGCTCCGCGGGCTGATTCCACGAGTGGTGACTCAGGGCCGTGCCCCCGGTCCCAGGCCAGCGGCTGTGCCAAGGCCGCTGGGCAGCGCAGAGGAGCCCCAGTGCCAAGGGGCAGCAAGTGCCTTAGATTTTTTACAGACTTCCACCGTGGTGCCATCGATCCCTGCGCTGTTCTCGCCCCCGGAGCTGGGCGGGCGTGACTTGCCCTGGGCGCTGGACTGGAGGCAGCCCAGCGCTGTGAAGGAGGCCCAGAGCGACACCGCAGATGCAGCGGCTGGGTGCTGTGCCCTGTTCCAGGAACGCTGCCCCCTCCCCACACGTCAGTACCCATCTCTCAGGCCCCTGGTTTTCCCAGGCCTGGAGCCCTTGCTTCGCTGCAACCCGGGGAAGTGCCTTTCACCCCAGTGACCTCCAGAGCTCTGTGCGAAGGCAGAGGGAGCCAGAAGGTGGATCAGCCTGGCCCGTGGCCCCCCACCCGAAAGCCAACAGCTCAGGGAACTTGACCGGCTCCAGCACATCCTGGGAACCCCCATCTCTGGCTCCTCTCCTGACCCCTCCTCCAGCCAGGAGGCCCCGGGGATGGACTGGCTGCGAGGGCTGGAACGGGGCTGGGAAATTCATCTTTGGAGATCGCTCCGAGCCCAGCTCCAGGTGCTTGGCCCCCTGGGAAAGGCCAGCGGCTGCAGGCTCCCCCGGGCCCTGGACACCGGAGAAGCAGTGGCAGGACCCGAGGGCAGATGGCGCGGTGGAGCCAAGGGAGGGAGTCGAGCCCAGAGGTGAGAGCTCTGTAGCACTGGGCCTGGCGGGGGACATGGGCTCCCCTGGAATCACTCAGGGCTGGGCCCAGCACGCTATGGGAGCTGAGTGCCAGTCGTGCCACAGGCACAGAGAGCCCAAGGGCTGGAGGCCTCCAGCGCCCCACATCAGGGGGAGCCCCCACCTGGGAACAGGGTTGTTCTGAGCCTGTCCTGTCCGGTGTCTGTGCAGCATCCGGGGCAGGGCCAGCCGGGCCCGTGGGGCTCTGCTCCCCTGCAGCCTTTACCCAGCGCTCAGCTCAAACTCTCCCTGTGTGCTCTGAGCTGCAGGGCACAGGCTCGGGTGACTGAGGGTGGGAAGGGACTGCCTGCCCTGGGCGCACGGCGCTAGTACACAGCCTGGTTGGCAGTGCCAGGTCCGAGGCTCTGCGTTGCCCAAGGGTGAGCTGCATGCGCTGAGACAGGGTCCTTGGGCCGCAGCGCCCTGGGTCTCCGGGTGGTGCTCCAGAAAGTGCAGAGCCCAGAAGCTAGCCCCCCCGTGTGCGCAGCCTGACCCCCTCTCCTGTGAGCTGCACGTGTCCCTTCCCGCGGAGCTGGGTAGGGCCCTGGGCCCTGCACGGGGGTGAGACAACAGAACAAAGGGCACGGCTCAGGGGGCTTTCTGACCCCTGGCTGCAGGGTTAACCCTTTGCTGCCTGTTTGGGTTTGAGGGCCAATACCCCCACCCAGGGGGAGGCCACAGGCAGCACAAGGATTGCACGTGGCCTCTGGCTGTTGTTCTTGGGGTCCCCACACCCCATCATTTGTGTCAGTGGCAGGAGCCACGACCCATGGGTGCCCCGACACACAGGCAGTGGGGGCCGGGGCCAGAGGTTTGGGTTTGGGACTGAGGCGGGGGCCTGCCTGCTCTGCTACCGACTTTGTTTCCCTTGCAGTTTGCGGAGGAGCCTGCTGCGTGGCTCCCGTGCACAGGGCCCGGTGCTGGGACCTCCGGAGGCTGCCCTGGCTGGAGGGAGCAGGCGAGGAGCCCAGGAGGGACTGGAGAGCCGCAGCCTCTGCTCATGGAGACACCAGCAGCCCCATTCTGCTCTGGGAGAGGACATGGACTGGGCAGATGTGTCCCTGCCCTGTACAGCCAGGCTGGCTCCCTGTGTGCAGCGGATGGGCCCAGGGCTGCCTGGTGCCCGCCTGCCTCGTGCTCAGGCTGTGCCATGTTGCTCGCGAATAGCCAAGCCCCAGCGCACCGGAGAGCTGTGAGCCTCCACCTACCACTGTCTCACTGCCCCGGCTTGCCCCGGGCACGCCCTGCACGCTGCCCTGTGCCCCCATCCCTGCCTTGGGGAGATCCCACCCATCAGCACAGGACGTACCACAGGCACCAGCCAGGCACTGTCCTCCCCGGGACCTGCGGATCTTTCCCACCCTCCTGCCGTCTGCAGCCAGACTGCTCTGCGCATGGCCCTGGGGCCCACTCTGCAGGGCTGGGGCGGGAGCTGGTCCTGCTGCGTGGCAGGGAGGGGCTCTGTCCCTGGCGGGTTTCCCAGGCCCCTGCCTGTCTGACTCGTGGGCCCAGCTGCACCCAGATCTGTTGTTTGCTGTGGATTCACCTTTCTAAATAAAGGGTTGCTGGTACGAGCTGGGGCTGTCTGTGTCGGGGGCTGGCTGTGGGGGGAGGGGGAGGGGCTGGGATTGCTGCCCTGGATGGGGGAGAGTCACGCGGGGGGTGGCTTCGGGCAGGGGTTTCCCACGAGCCTCAGGTTCATCACATTCCAACCCCTCATCAGAGAGGTCTCAGACCTGCCCCTCCTCCAGCCCCATAGGGACCCCTGGCCCCTCAGCTCCGCCGCGGGGCTGAACATGCCCTGCCCTAGCAAGGGGGCCCTGCCCTAGCAAGGGGGCCCTGCTGACCCTGACTGCCACCGCATGGCCTGGGACCGGGGGGGCTGGTCAGGAGCTGGGCTCAGATCGTTGCTGGGGATCTCCAGGACCCAGCACAGCTACTGGCGTCTGAGGGGTGGGGCTGGGCTAGCAAAGGGCGGCCAGGCTCGGGGCAGCCCCCTGCACCCTGATCTCTGATTGCCAAGCTGGGCCGTGCGTCCCGGGGGGCTGACAGCCTCACCTTGGCTTCCCCAGCCAACCCCCGCCCAGTGCCGGCTGGGCTGGGTACCAGGGGGCCCGCAGGACGCTGCAGCCTGCGTTTGCTTCTTGGGGCCTCAGGCTGGGCTCCCCGAGAGCTGCCGCGACTTGCCGAGGGCTCGTGCAGGCCTGGCTTTATGCACCAGCCCATCCTCGCACTGGCCTCCTCGCCCCCGGCAGCCGAGCTCACACGAGGCCAGGGCTCCCTGCCCCACCGGCAGGACCAGAGCGGGGGAGCAGCCTGACACACACACACCCCCGCAGCCAGGCCCCACCACAGGGGCCTGCACCTGCTCCTGGGGAAGGCTGGCCCAGCGGGGCAGGCGTAGGAAGCCCGCTGGACATCCCAGCAGGAGCACGGCGCACCGGCGGCGTTACCAAGCGCTCCCGGGCCGGCGGCATGGCCGCGGTGATGCCAAAGCAGGCCAAGCCCTGGCCAGGCCCCGTTCCCAGCCCCACACGCCGGGACAGCCCCTCTCTCCCAGTCCCAGCAGCGCTCTGAGCATCTCCAGGACTTTCCCCACGGCCTGGCTCAGCCCAGCGGCCCTGCTGTCTGCGTGGGGCCCCAGCTGCGGGGGTGGCTCCCGCCTGGGGCTGGCCAGGCTGCTGGGGGCGGGGGGCCGAGCCGGGCCTGTGACGTTTGCTCTGCCAGGCAGCGAGAACAAGGCTGCAGTGAGGCAGCCGGGGCAGGACGGAGCCAAGTGGCCGCGTTCCACAGGCCCAGCGCTTCCTGGCCTGGCTGCTTCTGAATGGGCTCCCTGTGTGCCGG